CGGGTCTTACCCCGTGTTGAGATTGCGCTGGAACCCCCATTCCCTATACTACTACGATGATTATTCCATTCCCCAGCGATGCAGTGAACATTAGAACAACATTACAAGGCAGCTTCTAAGAATAAAATAACTATCGAGTGGTGCAGGGTTTATGGCTGTTGGGAAAGAAAAGAAAAATGTCGCAATCCACACGAATAAAATCAGTAAACGAACTTTCTTCTTGGTAACAATAATGTTGTATCGATGTCTTAGTCTGAGCGCCAAGTATCTGTCTATACTGATTATTGTCATCATCAACAGGGAAGCCAACGCAAGGAAGAATGCGAAGAAGACATATACCTTAGCCATTCCACATATTCCCTGAACATCGCCCTCCAAGTTATACGTGTTCATTGCAATATATAAAGGATGAAATACCAAGCCCACTAGAAGATCTGTGAAGGCTAAACTCGTTATCACTAAGTAGGATGGTGTCTGTAGGTTCTGGGATATCAAGAAGGCGACGATAATCATTCCATTCCCTAGCGATGCAGTGAACATAAGAACAACATTAAGAACAATGTTGAAGACGATGAGGATAGTACCAGACTTGCTCTTATTTAAATTCCAAACGAATTCCTTCCCTATCGAATTCGATGAACAGTTTATGAGTTCTTGATGACTGGCAGGTTCTTCATAGTTGACCATCGTGTATTTTAAAAGAGAGAAGGATGTTGAAATGCTGTTCAGTGAATCTTCCAGTGTACGCAGGGTTTAGCCGCGAATCCAGGAGTTGCCTGTTTTGTTATTCTAATTTCTGTTTTTGTTTACCGACCTCGGATCGAAGTGAAGCTAAACCTGCCTACAATAGAGTTTTTAGAGCGACAATTGACGTACTATGCATGGGAAACAAAGTGACTCAAACTTTCTTGAAAAAAATAAATATTAGTTCATGTTTACAGACGGTGTGTTTGATAAGATTTTCATTTCAACACCTTCAAATTTAGAACTGATATTTCTTTACTTCACTATTTTTTCACTGTTCTTTCTTCTTCAATTAATTCTTCAACAGTGTTTGATGTCGCGGTAGATTTTTAATTTGTTTTCTCTACATGAATAATGAAATTGTCTAGTGTTCTATAGTAATTTAAATTAAAGTTGTTTTTTCGAAAGCAAAATTCAATATTCAATCAAGGGAAACACGGGTGGTGTAGCGGCAAGATGTAAGGATTCATTTACGAGAGATACCAGGTGAACTGACTGCTTTATTAATACAACTTCTCTTGTCTACGTCTACTTAACAAGCTTCAGGTTTACTCCTTATATACTATAAGCCTCTGGAATTGTCCACGGTACAAAACTTACGTTAATACTACAAAGTAAATATAGAAATAARGGATATTGACATATAAAATATTTTAAGATACAATTAGGGTACGGACACACGGACGTATGTCTACCCCTGAAACTTGTTGTACGTAACATTGCATGAAACAAATCTGAAGTTGAATCGCGCTCTTCTCTTGCAGCATTAGTGCTTGCAGCAAATTTCATCGTTTGAACATGGTTGCAGCATTGCGTGCAACATTTTGAAAATTCCAGCCAATCAGCTTGTACCAAATGTATGACTGCTGGCCAAATATCTTAACATAGCAGGCTGACATAAGCGATGTTGCGTGATTTTGTTGCAACGTGTGTCACCCCGATTTCAATTTGTTGTGCAATGCTGCACCGTCTGTTCGCACCTTTAGGATAAAGATAAAGCTTTTCATTTAATTCTATATTTTTGATATTAATTTATATTGCACGTTACAGTGAACACCCACCTCTCATCAAGGCGACCCGGTTTCGATTCTCTCATTGCATTGACTCGGTGTCGCATGAAGGGACAGTTGAAGAGTTATCTGTTGGTTATCTCCTGTGATATGTGGGGTTTTTCTCCGGGTTCGCTGTTTTTCCTCTTTCTGCAAAGATCAACTTCTAAATTCCAATTCGATCATGGAACAAGGGCCACAGGGTTGTTAGCCACTGGCTATTAATTGCCATCCTTGTCAAATAAGAACGATTCCTAGTTTACGAAATGTATAATAAACAAATTCTGAATTAGGCTTTCGCCTACGGCTTCGGCAGATAACCGACGGCTTGGTCTCGACATAAGTTACGATATAAGTTACGATATCATGCTCAACTTAATTCAATAAATAACGTTTAGTATTTCAATGAAGGTGGCTGATGGTGGCACGACAGGCGTTACGAATATCTGCAAACCTTACTAAATAAATGACTGGGTTTATACTGGAATTAACGCAATAAAGAGTAACGGTTGTCAATTGYAWAATGAGCAATTCTTTTCGCTTCCCCAGAAAACCCCTTCCTACACCCGCACAAATGATAGGCACGCAACAAAGAACAAGACATACTGAGACTAAAAGCATCGTCTTCAATGTTTTCTTGTAATTGACATCAAAGTTCCCAGCCAACGGGTTTGGTGTTTGGGCTTGAATTTGGACTGTGTAAAGCTTAAGGGTTCGGTAAGACTTGATGYAGAAGACACAGGTTGATAACAGCAAGACTGCACCAAGGCAGCTTTCTAAAATGAAATAGAATTGGATTGTAAGGTTTATGGTTGTTGGAAAAGACAAGAAAAATGTCGCAATCCACACGAGTAAAATCAGTAAACGAACTCTCTTCTTGGTACAATAATGTTGTATCGATGTCTTAGAGTCAGCGCCAAGTATCTGTCTATACTGATACATGTCACCATCAACAGGGAAGCCAAACCAATGTACGTTGAGAAAAATATGAATGCCTTAGCCATTCCACATATTCCCTGAACATCGCCCTGCAAGTTATACGTGTTCATTGCGATATATAAAGGATGAGTTACCAAACCCATCAGAAGATCTGTGAAGGCTAAACTTGTTATCAGTAAGTAGGATGATGCCTGTAGGTTCTGGGATCTCAAGATGGCGACGATGATTATTCCATTCCCCAGCGATGCAGTGAACATTAGAACAACATTAACAACAATGTTGAAGACGATGACGATTGTACCAGACTTGCTGTCGTTTAAATTCCAAACAAATTCTAAACAGTTTTCCAGTTCCGTTTGGGCATGATGACTGATGTTTTCTTCCTGGTTGACCATCATGTGTTTTAATGTAATGGTTGAGAATGAAAACTACTTTCCTTGCAACACTTTGATGTATACTGATCTTGCAGCGTCGTCGACCAAGTCAGAGAAAGAATCCACTTGTAATTTCTTTTATTAATAAGACAATCGAAAATGGTACAGCCGTGTTTAATATTGATGAACTTACATGATTTTTAAGTTCCGTCTTGCAATTTTTGTGCCCAAAAAATTTACTCCGAAAGCAGAGACGGTCCGTGTAACACTCTACAAAGAGCTTTTCAATTTAGTTGGAGTGAATTGGACATATGAAATTTGCCTGATTTTTGAATTTTCATTTTTTATGATCATGTCAAAATTCGAATATTATCTCATCAATGTCAATTTTCAATATTCGAAATTCAAAAATTAAAAATAAAAATTTTTGAAATGACTTTTCGATATTTTGATTTTGTACTCTGAAAACGAACTTTGGAAAAATATCCTGTAGACAGGGGGAGGTGGGTCCGTGTAACACTCCACAAAGAGCTTTTCAATTTAGTTGGCATGGATTGGACATATGAAATTTGCCTGATTTTTGAACTTTTCATTTTTTACGATCATGTCAAAATTCGAAAATTATCTCATCAATGTCAATTTTCAATTTTCGAATTCAAAAATTAAAAATCAAAATATATATTTGAAATGGGTCCGTGTTACAYGGACCAGAGACACTGCAGATTTCCTTTAGTAACCTTACGGACTGGAGGCAACTGACTTTAACTTTCTACAAGAATATTATTATTATCAAGGACTGACATGCATAGACTAACCTGTATTGTACGAATAGCCTGAATAAGAAGGGTTTATAGGCAGTGTGTGTCTCAGCTTGAACTTTGTTACCTTTGAGTTTGAGTCTCCCCAGCTGGAGCCTCCCTCGACTTGTTGAAAACCAATATAATCGTTCTGGTCTAAAAACCAGTTTTTAATAAAACCCCCACCGCCGCCGAATAACTTGCTTCATATGCCGTCTCGATCTGTCAGTTCTTATTGACTTTCTAATAAATCACCGGACCTGAGTTAGTTCATCATCTAGAAGCCGAAGTGACAATGTTATGAACTTTATTGGCTTTCTAATAAATCACCGAACCAGTGTTACTTTGTTTTTGAGCTAAGTGACCTAAGTTGGTTCATCAACTAGGAGCCGAAGTGACAACCTTATGAACTTGCTGCGAAAACATATTTGGCAAAATCAATTACTATAATGCAGCAATAAATGAATTCGAAGGCCTGATTAACAATTAACCAATGAAAAATGTTGAAGTAATGAAAAACATTAATTCCAGATTAATTTTGCTCTAGTTGTTGAAAATGACATCCTGATAAATGAAAAAAATATTCGTTAAGGAAGTAAGGTCAATGTCATTTCTTGAAGGCAGAAGTAACTGAGATTTCTCTGTTTCTCAGTGCTTTGGGAATCAGTTTATTGAACGCAATCATCGCATTTTCAAATAAAACATTAATAAAAGCCGTTATCAAAGTCTATATTATAGAACTTTTATCATTTTTTTTTCGAAAATAAAAAAAATCTTAACTTCATAAGGGAAACACTGATAACTTAGCGGCGTGAACACTCTTCTCTCACAAATGCGACCCTGTTTCGATTCCCGGACTCGGTGTCATATCTGAGTTTCTAACAAATATAATATGCTCAACTTCATTCAATAATTGTTAATTACGTTTATTATTTCAATGAAGGAGGTGGCTGATGGTGGCACGACAGGCGTTACGAATATCTGCAAACCTTACTAAATAAATGACTGGGTTTATACTGGAATTAACGCAATAAAGAGTAACGGTTGTCAATTGTATAATGAGCAGCAATCCTGTTCGCCTTCCCAGAATTAACCTTCCTACAACCGCACAAACAATAGGCRCGCAAGAAATAACAAGACATGCTAATACTAAAAGCATCGTCTTCAAAGTTTTCTTGTATCTGACAACATCAAAGTTCCCAGCCAACGGGTTTGGTTGTTGGGCTTGAACTTGGACTGTGTAAAGATGAAGGGATCTGTAAGACTTAATGTACAAGACACAGCTGAATGAGAATAAAACTGAAGTCAGGCTTGCACCGATAACATAAATATTTCTGTATAATGTGTTCATGGTCGCTTGAAAAGCTACGAAAAATATTGCAATCCACACGAGTAAAATCAGTACTAGTAAGCGAACTCGTTTCTTGGTGACAATAATGTCGTATCGATGCTTTAGTCTCAGCGCCAAGTATCTGTCTATACTGATACATGTCATCGATCATTAACAGGGAAGCATAACCTAGGAAGGTTCCCAAGAAGACATATACCTCACCCATTCCACATATTCCCTTAACATCGCCCTGCAAGTTATAGATGTTGAGAGCAATTTGTAACGGATGAAATACCAAACCCATTAGAAGATCTGTGAAGGCTAAACTAGTTATCAGGAAGTAGGATGGTGTCTGTAGGTTCTGGGATCTCAAGATGGTGACGATAATCATTCCATTCCCCAGCGATGCAGTGAACATTAGAACAACATTAACAACAATGTTGAAGACGATGACGATTGTACCAGACTTGCTGTCATTTAAATCCCAAACAAATTCCTTCCCTATCGAAGAACAGTTTTCCAGTTCTTGATAACTGATGTTTTCTTCCTGGTTGACCATCATGTGTTTTAATGTAATGGTTGAGAATGAAAACTACTTGCCTTACAACGCTTTGATCTGCACTGACCATGCAGCGTAGAGAAGCAATTGGAAAAAGTCTTTGTAATTGCTCTTAATAATGGTTCAATCGAAAAGGGTACAGCCGTGACTAATGATGACAGTTTTGCAATTTCAGTGACCAATAAACTTTTTCCGAAAAGAGAGACACAGAAAATGAAATTATCTTAGTGACGCCACGCCCTAATAGTGATTACTGCCAGTAAAATAACCCTGACAACTGACTTCTCCATTTTCATTACCAACATTGTTTCATGTTTACCGGCTGCAAATTCTACATAATCTACTTTCAACGACTGCGAATCTAGAATTGACTTTTTTATTGCTTTAATATTGTTTCATTAATACATGCCATATCTCAGTTCATTTAATGCTAATACATGAGATATTTGTCGTTCCACCTGTTTTATATACCAATATACCAATTTGTATTAAATTGCTTTGTCGTCTTTTGAATTAAAGTTTAGCTCATACACATCAACAGACATTATTATACATTATACTCACTATCTGAATTCTCATTAGTCGAAAACCTACAGATAAACTTATTTGTTGTTAACAAGAAACAAGTTTATTGAATGATTTTACTCGCGTGGATTGTGGTATTCCCGATATACCAGTTAGCAATCTGAAATTTTGAAAAAGAAAAGGTTCAAGTAGCGTTGCTTCAGTTTAGTCATCCATTACCTGTGTCTTGCACATCAAGTCTCATACAGAGCCCTTCATCTTTACACAGTCCATGTTCAATTCAAGCCCGACAAGGCCAAACTCGTTGGCTGGGAACTTTGATGAATAGCAGGAAAACGGCTTCTTTGACGGCCTTTTTTTACAGGGACAAAATTTGGCTTTATGCAGAAAACGTAATTGCATTTATCCCAGCACGAAGATGACAACTATATTCGCGTAGTGCGAATGCATCCGCTTGTAACTATTATCGAATTTAAAATGAGCACTGCTTACTCGCAGCGCGGTTGGATTCAATGCATGTAGCAGCAATAACATCTAAATCTTTCTAAAGTTCTAGCTTCAAATTAGCTTCCCGTCTTCGCCAATCTTTGGAACTATAAAGTCAAAAGTTAACCATTAACTGATAGTCCGTGAATTAAGCAATCCTCTGTTAGGGGACACCAGACAAGGCCACAATGGTGTCCTAGCTCTTAACTGAGAGGTTGGGGTGGGAAAGGTGGGGTATTCCCGTATAACGAAGGACGGGGATAATCATTCGTATTAGTTTAGGGGTTGAAATCGCAAGTCACCACCTCGATCTTTTAGGGGTAAGAAAGAAAAAGCTGCTCTGGTTTTCTAGCATGCCTTAAAATTCTTTTAGGTCTAAAATTAAACCAGGACAATTCTCTATCTTTCAGGGGTTAAATGAACTGTTTTTGACGATCATTTTCAAATGGGAGTAACCTCCCACCGGAATAGAGGTACCACTAATTCATAATCTCATTATAGACTGACCTCCATTATCTTGTCTCTGCAAATGTTTTATTTGATGACGGCACCTGTGCTTCTCATCCAAATACACTTCAAAAAGTCAATTGATGAATTTGTCAATTGTTGCACGCTAAAACAAATTCCGTTCTTGCCACGTGAATTCAAAACCGCCAATCAGTGTTAGTGAAAAGAAAAACTGGTTATGGCAAATCAATATCTGTTGAAAGACGACCCGCGAGAAACGTAGTTACAAGCCAGATCGACGCTAACCATGAGCGGAATGGTTGAAAACTGTCCAAAGATTTCACAGCTTTTTTTCGAGAATTTGAGTGACAATCATTTTCTTAAGGCACCCATCACTATCAACATTTCTCTCAATGCAGTCCTAGCACTAACAGCAACCCTAGGTAATGGAATGATTATCGTCGCCATCTTGAGATCCCAGAACCTACAGACACCATCCTACTTACTGATAACAAGTTTAGCCTTCACAGATCTCCTGATCGGTTTGGTATTTCATCCGCTTCTAAGCATATTAAATAGTTATTACTTGCAAGGCAAAGTTCATGAAGTATGTCGAATGACTAAACCAGTAATATTCTTTGGAGTTCTCGTTGGGTATGGTTCTATGTTGATGGTTACATGTATCAGTATAGACAGATACTTGGCACTGACTCTAAGACATCGATACAACGTTATTGTCACCAAGAAACGAGTCTGCCTGTCGATCGTTTTTGCATGGAGTTCTGTTTTTCTATTAGCAATTTTAAATATGCCTGAGGAACTCTTCGATATCGTCTTCGTTGCGGAGTCTTTTATCCTCCTGGTTCTGTTTTCCATCACCTGTGTCTTCTACATCAAATCTTTCAGAGCCCTTCATCTTTACACAGTCCAAGTTCAAGCCCAACAACCAAACCCGTTGGCTGGGAACTTTGATATCGTCAAATACAAGAAAACTTTGAAGACAATGCTTGTGGTGCTAGTATGTCTTGTTCTTTGCCAGGCACCCATTATTTGTTCACTCTCAATAATGAGTTTTTTCAATATAAAACGACTAGAAACTATCGTGTTTTACTATGTAGCACTCGCGCTTTCATGCTTTAATTCAAGCATAAATCCAATTATTTATTTAATAAGGTTCAAAGATATTCGAAATACTTGTGTACAAATGTTGAAAAATCCCCTTCATCGATAACATCACCTTCTTAGAACGGTTTTATGCAAAGCTACCAGAAAAGAAAACAATGTTTTCTTGTGCATTTTGCGGGTCGACGGCAATTTGAGGATATTTAATACTGCAAACAGATAATGAAGTTGGTATATATATACTGCAAAATAGAAAGCTACCAAAAAGCTATAATAGTCATGAGAGAAGATATAATGGAATACATGGAGCGCTAAGCAAACACGAAAAAAAATAAACCGTCACTTTCGTTGTTCACGTTGTAAACTAAACACGCTGTCGACCTCAAACAAACTGAAGAAACGAATAAAAAAAAAGAAAAAAAAAAAAAAAAAAAANAAAAAAAAAAAAAAAAAAAAAAAAGAAAAAAAAAAGGTAGAGAAAGAAAAACAATTAGAAAAACAGCAGGAACTTCTGCGTAGTGTAAAATAACACGTTATTGTTTTATAATAGATTATATTCATAAAGCTTTTTTAATATGTTATTTGGAAAGTACAATAGATAGGAAAACAATGCAGTATTAATAATATTTTTTTCGTTTAGTGTTATGTTGACAGGTGAAATGAAATGGCAAGTTATTACTTCTTCAAGCGTCTCTTTTTTTTTGCAAGGAAAGTAAGACTGCCTTAACATTGATGCGGAGTCGATGTTTCTAAGGCAATGATAAACAAGAAACATTGAAATCAGTTGAACTAGAATTATATGCGATCCCGATCGATGAGAACCAGAAAAGCGTAAACCAACACGAAAAACTAGGATATTGGACAACAAAATATGATAGAATCAACAAATACTGAGTGATCGATTTTGAGTAAAGCACAAACTTGTTTTTGACTCTCGATTTGGCTCGTAGAAAAAACTAATATGCACTTATTTCAATAAAGTTAGTCATCAAAAACCTAGAAAGCTGAGATCACTGAGCATCATGGGAAATTTTTCATATTAAAAAAGCATATATATACAAAGCTTTTTTAATACAAACCGCAGCTCGATGATGCTCAGAAGAGGCGAGACTGTAACCGCTAAAAGGTTTGCAAGTCCATGAACAGTTATCAAGCGGTTGAACGTGTAAGATGAATCTACCCATAATCCTTGTCGGCCTCAGCTTTATACCTTTTCAGGTGACTAACTTTATTGAAATAAGTGTATGCAAAATGTAAAAGGCAAAAGTGCTTACATTTATGGGCGAATTAATATAGCCCATAAAGAGCGGAAAAAATTAAAGGAGAAATGGGAGTAATTGGAATTATTCTTTTGTTTTTATTCATTTGTTTCCCTTGCATTCCTAAATTTGTAATTTCTTTTTTTGATAAATTCCCTTAAAAAACGTGGGTACTGAACAACTTATAATCATTAGTAATCTATTATTAATTAGAGTGCAAACAATTAATCCGTGAAACACTAATTACTAAATAGTACAAATTAGTGCTAATTAAACAATATAAAACAATGGAATTTGCATGAAATTGTGCTATTTAGTATTACTAAAGTTTCACGGTTATATTGTTTGCACTCTAGTAATAGAATTTAGGTTAAAAGATATATTTTAGAGACCTTCTCAAAGGGTTTTTATAATTAGCATGATACTTGCACTCTTAAATTCTTTACGTTTAGATGGAGAAATAGTCCAAGAAAACAGAAATTACCTCGAAATTACTTTCGCTGGAATACGGGGGAGCGAAAGAACTTCTGTTTTCTCAGGCTAATGGCGAAAAAGGGTGATCAGAAAATTAACATGACGGAAAATTTTAACTTGTGAGGTTTGAACGTTGTTGCGGTTTGTGATTGTATTTCTAGGTTGAATATTCAACTTTGCGATTTCTTTTGCTTAGGCGTTATGGTTTAAGCATAAATATTGGCTTGTGGTAAATGAATGGCCCGCACGCACGCACACACAACGCAACAACAACACTGTTTGTCAGTGAAGCATTAGTCCCTTGATGTGACGTCAAAGCAGCTCAATTTGGAGGACAAAACAAAAGTATTTCAAGGCTCATGAGAATTGAAAACCTATTGTTTTGCCCTACTAAATTGAACTACATTCCGACGTGCTTCGCTTTCGGCCAACTGGCTTTTTGGACCAATTCTTATCCTCTCGCCAATTATCACCCGATCCGCCAGTATAGTTATTGATGGGTTGCAAGCATTCCCAAGAGAGTTAAAAGACAAAAACATGGCGGCCATTGTGGTATCGTTAACAATGGATGCTAATGAGAAATCTTTTGTTAAATGTACCAACATGGCCGCGATGACGTAACGTGCAAACGAATAATTCCTTTGTTCATTATCTCCATCCATGATTAATTTGCAAAGTCTACTATTTTCTATTCCATATTCATTTATCTTATTTTTCATTCGTTCATTGGCGATTTTTGATGTGAATTTTTAGTTCTAACCCACCCCTCCCCCGCTGAATTTGACTAGATTTCACGTGCCTATAGCCCAAATTCTATCACAGATATATGTATAATCATCGATCACGTGAAAGAGTGCGCCATTCTCTTTGGTTAGTAATCGTACAGCAGGCTCATAGCTTCAGCGGCTTTACAGCGAACCTTGGTCGAGGGATCCTTTAGTAACATTACAAGGGCTGAAATTGAAAAAATTCAAAAAAATATTATAAACAAACAAATAAATAAATAAATAAATAAATAAAT